GTGCTTTGTTGGTGTGAGGTGATTCTCCTTGCCTGCCTCTTGTCCTGTGCCTGCTGATTTCTCACTCAGTTTCTCCTCGGGATGGTTTATTTTATTCACCCCCCAGCTTTCAGTGCCTCGGCGCTGTTCTCTCATCTCCCTCTTTGCCTTCCTCGCACCTCATCTCATGAATCTCTTTGCTGTCTGTGCTGACTTTCTGGGCCACCTTTTAATTACAGACTTGTCTGCCTTTTTCTAAGCCATTATCTACACCTGTCTCTCTAATTCTCCCTCYGTGTTGTCCTGGGTGAGGCTGAGCTGTCTCAGCATGGGAAAGCCGTGCCTGTTAATCTCTGTTCTAATCCTCCTGCCCTGATAGCTCAGCCTCTGTGGTCTCTCGTAGATCTGGTGTATCTAAATCTTGGAGACAGTTTCTGCAGTSTGGAGAAAAATCCTAAGGTTTTCCTTTCCAGCCACATTTCCACTGCTTTCCCAGCCTTTTAACCCACATCCCATTCGTCATTCCACAGTTGCTGTTTTATTTTGTTTGTACAGCACCTAGCACAACAGTGCCCTGCCATTAATGAGAAATAGTTATAATAATTATTGCTGTGTTTAACCAGTGTCTGCTTAATTTGTGAGCCATTAATTCTGAATGCAGTGCATTATTCTTATTTCGCTGTGATGTTACGCACGTGGAGTGTTATTTATTCTGAATTCATTAATGGCTTTAAGGAGTAGCTTGGTTYGTTAATGTTATCTCATGATTTATTTAAAACATAAGTATATAGTTTAAAACAATAATTGTATTCTAAATATCTCCCATTGCTGGAGCTTACTTGAAGGAATGCAGACCAGCWTTTTGATGTTAGCATCTCAAATTATGCGAACTGTAAACAATTTATAAGTGGATTTGTGCTTTTTCTCATAAAGACAAGCTCATCTTATTCTTAAAATTGGGGAACACTTTATGTTTATTATTTGGCTTTATATTTTTTGCTTCATTTCTTTGAAATGATGAAACAAGTTTGAATGCTTTCTAACAACTCCGAAATATTAAAGTGCCCAGGGACAGGATAGGGATGATGTTTTGAAGGCAATAAATATTTCAGCTTCACATTTCAGTCTTTCTTCTTCGCTTCTTTGATCTGGCTTTGCTTTAGTTATCATTCCGCCTGAATGACTTCACACTGTCTTTCTTCCTCTCCACACCAAAAAGAAGAAGTGTTCCTGCACATATTCCAGATGTTTGGGGCTGGCATGGTGGGAGAGCCCTCGCTGTGCCTCGTTGTTTGGGGGAATCGTGCAGGAGGATGCTCCAGCCACAGATGGAATGGGGCATTTAGGCCCAAGTTAAAAACAGGAGAGCAGGAAAAAAATGATTTTTTGTGAATTTCACAGGTTTGTCATTAGTACTGAAGCATTTTTCTGTCGTAATAAACTAACCCATTAACCTCTTTTTTCACAGTCTGTTATTATTTTCCATGCCACTGAAAACCATGGGAAGCTTGGGTGTGGATTTGCTCCTGGAAACTCTGTCCTTGTACAGCCATAGTGGTTCATGTTGTGTTTGGGGTGTTCTGCCACTCCATATCTAAAGGGATTTAATTTACTGAYGAGGCTCAAACCCAGACAGGTTCATCTCTGCTCCTGGTCCTGTTGGGGAACCCTCAGGATGGAGGGAACCCTGCAGGAAATGTGTTGGTTCATCCARCATTTGCTGGGACACCCCAAGTTTAATGAACCTCTGCTGTTAACCCCTGGATTGCCCCATGTTTCATTAATTTCATGACTTGCAGCGCTCTAAAGTCTCACTGTGTTCAATTATTACCTCTAGGAAGAGACTTTACCGAACAAGACAAATATTTATGATGAAGCACAAAGAGGAAACATGTAAATGTTTATATTTCCCATTTACCAGGGTGCTGATTKCTGAAATTGAAATCTCAGATTTCACAGTCAACTTTCCTTGAGATGGTTCATGTCGTGTGAGGTTCCTCATTCTGTTGCATGTCCTTTATGCGCTGAAACAAAAGGAATTTCCTGCTTTTTAAATTGGGGGCAAAGAATAAATTCACCCTGTTTTTATATTCAAGCCGGCTCAGCTTTAGGGGATTTAAGTGATGTAATTGTATTGTATTGGGCCCCACAACTAGTCCAACTGAAAAAAAAATAATCTTCAAAGTGAATATTTGAGTGCTTCATGCAAGGCACATTGCTCGGTTTCTTGGGAAAAAAAGTGAAGCTTTTCTTATATTTGTGAACCGAGGGCCATTGTTGTACAGGTTTTCTAAGCTGCTGTACAAATGTGAACTGCACAAAAAGTAGAGAGTGCTGGCTCCCACATCCTTCAAAAATGAAGGKTTTTTTTTTCCTGGTTATAATGAGATGTTGCATTTATTCATGGGATTAAAGCCTTAAAAGAAAGGARGGTGCATAAAACCACGTTCCTAGAWGTTTGCATCATAATATTTGAAAATTAAAATATCTTCCTAAGGAAGAAGATGCATAAATTTGRACTGRTATCTTGTCCTTTTATGTTCAGATYTGTTGTGTTTCCATCTGACTGGACCRAAGCTGTTGTCCCAGAGTCTCATGACATTGGGATGTTTGAAGAAGCTTTGATTTTTGGGTTTGTTTCCAGTTTGAAGCAGGAGTTTTAGATGTGTTTTGCAGAGAYGGAGATTATTTGTTATCCAGTGTCCTGAATTAGGGAACTTTGGGAGGAGAAGTGGAGGTTTTCCCCTCTCTGTGGTCTCTCCAAGGTAACAAATGTGGACAGAKCCCTTCCATGTTCTTCTTTCTGATGTAGACTTTGTTGTGGGAGAGGGGAGCAATGTGCTCACTGAAATTCGGTGTCCGACAGCTGTAAAATTCAAAATATCTGTATTCAGCAGCTCCCTGGATTTGTGGGATTTGGGGGATAACTGAGCCAAGCAGCAGGAGCTGATGGATAACTGACCCATCAGGCAGTTCCTATCACTTTGAGCTCTGGAGGTGTCATTGGTGTGCCTGTTCTGAGCAATAGTGGAGGAGTTTTGGATTTCCATTTGGGATTTTTGGCTCCTCTGCAGAGAAATGTAAACCCTAAATGGTATTTCGCTGCTTGAATTTAGACGGGGAAGAAAAAAATGTTGATTTTGGTAGTGTTGTTTTGATTTTTATTGTCTCATAAGTGAGTGGGGAATGTGGTAATTCAGATTAACACAGATGTGCTTCCCTCTCGAGGGAGTGCAGGMAATGGAATCAGTGAGGCTGTAGGAATAAAGGATATTTGGGGGAAGGGGTGAGGGATGCTCTCTAACAAATTTGAAGATGATTTGCGCAGATCTTCTAAGAACAAAACACCAAAAACCCAAAATAATCATCACCAAAACTATGAGAYGGGATTTTGCTCTGTTTTCCTCCAGTTTCTGCTGGGTAAGGAAGGCACTTYCCTTTTTCTGTAAGGAAAGAGCCGTCTCCCTATTCTCAATTATTCCATCAGCTGTGAGTGAGGCACCAAAATCTATTTTTTTTTWAAATATGCATCATGAAAAAACTCAAAAAAGTAAACAGCAACGCACTGACTCAGAGCTTGTGGYATTTCTTTGATCTCTTTGCTGATGGAATTACCCTGCTCTCCTCCACGGCTTTGGGAAGATGTAGGATTATGTTCTTTGTCCCATTGTCAAAGTCTGGTTTGAAAACCGCAGCAGAGGATGTGAATGCTGTAACTTTGGGCTTGGCAGCTTCCTGACCYTTCTGAAAGGCTCGCTCAGCACTGCAGCAGCTCCTCCAGGGCTGGCAAGGTGACAGGCGARATGAATTAGCCGGTCTTTTCCGTCTCTTATGTGTCAGATTCTTTGTTTTATATGGAAATAATTTCTGTCAAAATGGGAAATTTATCRTGAGGTACTTCCTCTGCCTGCAAAATGAAAATGTCAGCCCCAGGTCTGTGTGAATGTGTCTTCTGTTGCAGACCATGGGTGGAGCCAGCTTTGTCCCTTGATGCCACCATCGTGTTCCTTGGTGTCTGAACACAAAGTCAGGCAACTCCTCTGACCCCTGGGAGCAGAGGAGCGTGTCACAAAAAAGTTAATAATGCTGAGTTAATAACAAAATCAGTAATACATTAAAAACAGTTAGTTATATTTGAGGAATCACATCAAAATTTCAGAAATCTTTACAAATTACCTGAATTTTTGTCTGTGTTGTGGTGACAGGATGAATGTCTCTATCTATTCATGTATCTGTATCCGTGTATATAAAATATTATAAAATCATTCCTGTTGATAGACCAGCAAGTCTGAAGAAACCCAACCTGATTTCTGTAGATGTATCAAGTTTAATGTCAGATAGGATAGTCTGTCCCTAYGAAATATCTTTGCACAGAGATTTAACATCTGTCATCACCATAAAGGCTGAATAGACATTGCAGCATTATGGCTTCCTATAGATTAAGAAGGAACCACATGTCTCACATTTATCCTGCTTTGCATTTTGATCTATGGCAAGCAGGGAATAATCCTGCACCTTGCATGAGCAAAGATGGCACTGGGATAATTTTTTTGTTTGTTTTTTTTTGTTTAATCTGAAAAGGCAATCATGCTAAACAGAGTTGGTTTAAGTATTGGGGGTGTTAAATTTAATGTAATCTCTTTTATTAGTAAGTATTTGTTGTTTTTRTTATTATTAAATTTTATTAATTAGATCTCATTTAAAGATGAGGTTAATGAAGGGGTTCTGCAGTGGGTAGTGAGGGATGGAAGCAAAGAGAGACTTTGAAGGTGGAGGTTCTGTTGTGAGCTGCACACGCCGTGTTTGGGCGTGCGAAATTCAATCGCAGAAAGCGAAAATAACTCGGGCCTTCCATCGCCTTCTTCAAAGCCCTGCAAAGGGAAGTTGGGCAGAAGCTGGGACAGGAAATTGAAATCTGAATACTATTTTAAACTGATCGGGTTAAAGGCCTCTCTTTTACACCAGCACACTTGTTCTTTTATTTGATACTTGAACTCTGGAAATTTTCTGTGACTTTCTAGGGAGAAGGAGGAGCAGCTGAGGCGGGTGACGGAGGTACAGAGGCTGCAAGCCCAGCAGGCAGGCGCTGCCCTGGAGGAGTTTAAGCGGCAGGTGGAGCTGAACTCAGAGAAAGACTCTGCTGAAATGAAACAGCGGGTGAGGAGGTCACAATGCCAGCCTTTCTGAAACTCTGGCGCAGTGGGATAGCGGATTCTGATCTTATAATGCCAGAAACATGCTCCACTTGAGAGTGCGACATCAAAATCTTCCACAATGTAGTGTCTTTGCAGCGAGTCAGAAAGGGATGGTGGCGGGCGTTTCATCTCTCTGACAAAGCCGGAATTGTCATTGTTATAAAGATATCCGCAGTTGTGATACTGATTAGGGATTTTTCAGGAGTGAGAGTATAAAGTGTTAGTTTATGCACCCCGTGGAACAACGTTTGTCATTTCCCACTTAAATGTGTGCCTCTTCTCACTCTTCTGCAAGCGGCTCTGTCGTCTGTTAATGAGCTCCTGTAATCAGTTTGAGCCCAAACAGGGGCAGAGCTGCTGGCAGTTGTGTGCAGAGGATGGAAAAAGCCATTTTTCTGTCCCTAAAAGCCATTTTTTAAGAGATTTTAGTGCCTTCAATTTCTTAAGGAGCAAACAGCAGTGAAGCCGTTCTCCTGGGACTCCTGAGCCCAAAGGAATGACATGAGAAACAAGCAACAGGTGATCAAAAAGAAGGGGGGAAAAGGGGTATTTCCTTCACTCCTTGTGTGGCTGAGATCTCCAGACATAATTTTGGTTTGTAATTCTGAATCACAAATTCCAGCCTCACCTGCCATGGCCAAASCTCACTGCTGACAGGAGGGTGCTGCAGGCTGGGGCTGGAATGGATGGCTGAGGATGCTGATTTAGGGTTGAGGAAATTCCCTTTTTGTCATTCTCACAGTTTTTTTGGAAATTTTCACTGCTGATGTTTTAAAGAGCCATGCAGACAGCAAATACTAGAATTTAAAAATAAAAAAAACCCAAAAACAAACTTGCAAAAGCAAGATGTGTTCAGCAAACCAGGCCCATGGGGACAATAAAACAAATCCTACAATTTTAATCCGACATTTTCTGTACTGTGTGACCCTGCTGCAATTCCTTCATAATGACTTAAATTAGTTCTGCTCCAAAAGGGATTCTGTCTAATTCTAGAAAGGCTAATAATAGTTTCATTCACTTAAAAAACCTTCAGCAAAGAAAACCAGTCCAAAACATAAGAAAGTGCAAAAGAATTTGGAAAACATAGTTAATTGTAATTTTTAAATGACAGTAAATTTCTTTCAGAATATTGCTACTTTCTGGGAAGTTTTGAAAGTTAATTTTGCTGAGCTCCATGATTCAGCCATTGGGTGCTAAAATCTGGAAATATTAAATGATATTGCACTGTTGAGTGGTTTTATTCCCCAGCAACCAAGGTCCAAGGAAATGCATCAAAGGAACACTGCTGAAGCTCTCTGTTGATRGCTTTGTCCTCTCTCATTCTTGTGTGGCCACATCCTCTTAGATAAATCACCCAGTACACCGAAACACGCTGGAAAATTCTCTGTTTTGTGGTGAGGTGGGATGTGTTACTTATAAAACAACAACTGCAGTAACCATAGCAACGCTGTCCTTTTATCTCCATTCGAAATACTGGGCTTCTAAACCCATTTTTGGTGTGTGATAAAGTTAATTATGGAGATGAGTGGGATGGGGTCATTTTCAGTTGTCRCAATCAATATTTGATTCATTAGCTTGGCCTGATGATTTTTTTTTTTGCCATCTGCTTCCTATTTTGTCAGGCTTGTGGTTATTCAGAGTCACCTGATGTCCAGTGCTGGGTGGGTGGCACGTGTTTCACTGCAAGATCTGCTTTTTTTCCAGCATTAACTGAAAAAAAAAAGACTAAAAATACATCAACTGTGTCATGGCACTTTAGATCTGGGGCTTCCTGGGTTTGGCAAATAATCATCAAAAGCCTTTGTTGCAGTTGTTGGAAATRGATGAATGTGAGCTAACGAGTAAACTGCAAAAGCCAGTGGATTTAAAGCCTCTTTGCATATGTTTTTACTRTTTCACTTTTCTGAATGTTTTCATTCTCTTTTAAAAAAATCCTTCAGTGCAGTAACAAGAGCTGTTATTTTTTGGGGTTTTATTGACCTGAGTAAATTATGGCCATGGACATGCAATTTGAGTAAGTTTGGAGCTGGAAGAAAATTATTCATAAAACCATGATTGCAGTCCCTTTTCTTGATGGCAGAGAGGTCCAAGAGCTGCTTCCTCACTATTCTCTTTTTCCACTTTCTCTTTGGCCAACTGCTCCTGCTCCAGTCCTTTCCTTCCTTGCTGGARTACTCTGCAATAAAATTCTTTTCCTGCTCCAAGCGCTGCCTTTTCTCCTCCTGCCTGGCTGGGGAGTGATGTCCAGGCCAATTGGCCCAGGCTTGTGCTGAACACTGAGCACTCCCTCAGGCCAAGCAGGATTTTGGCTCGTGCTTCAGGAATTCATGGGTTTCTTCTTTTTGTGAAGCAGATGGGCTTGGGCAGCACTGCTTCTTCGGACTTTCTCTTTTCTTTTTTAGGGAGACTTTTTTTAGGGCCCCAGTTTATTCCCTGCTCGTGTTGGGATCTAGATCTAAAAGCCATTGATGAGTGTGCACTGCAGCAAAGTAAAATATATTTTTATATATATATTCCCTTGGAAACATGCCTGATGTGCAGCTAACAGTTGTGCTTTTGATACAAAAGCCTTTGTTAATTGAGTTGTGAAATTGCTTCCTTGATGCTGTGTGCTGGAATCTGTGGGACTCATTATTCATAGGCGATGACTATCTTCAGAGCACTGAACTCGCAGCCAAATAATTCTCTTTTAAGTTATTTTAAGTTATTTTCTGATTTAATGTAAACTTGCTTTAAATCTGTAGTTTATGCTCTGACTCGCACATGATTTCCCTCGGATTTCCACAGGCGATATATTTTTGAGTGAAACATATTTGAGTCTTAAATACGTCTGGAAAAAATAATTCCCTTAATTCTGATGGGATATTCACCACTGTTGAGTGAAAAACTGAGCCAATACTTTGTAATTAGGGAGTGGCATGACAGTGATCRCTGTGTCCTTGAGTAACTGATAATCCTGTAGTGACTGAATATTAATTTTCACCACACACAAACGGTGTTGTTATCATTCTCAACAAGTGATACTCGCCTCTTTGATGGTTTACAAACAACTGTAGAAATGTCAGAACATTTCAAGCTCTGCTTTTTTTAAAAAAAAAAAAAAATTAAATATTCCCTTTCTTTCCCCATGTAGATGGCAGAGGTTGAGGAAGATCTAAGCAGATCAAAATTGCTTCGGGAAAAGCAAGAGCAAGAATTCTCCTGGCAGTTGGATGAGATCAAGAAAGTGTATGAACAAAAGGTCAGTTGCTTTGCTGCTCCAGGTGGAGGGGAGCAGGGCCACCCCTTCCTGCAGCTGTGGGTCATTGCTTTTTTCTGCCTTTCCTATAAAAACACAATTTAAAGATATGGAGAGTTCTGGGATGGGGGATGGAGGGGTAAGAACCTACGCAGAAAATACTTTTTGTTTCCTCTTYGTAATCCTTTGTACCTCCGACATTTTCAAATGGTTTCCCAGGCTTACAGGTGGCAACACCTCTTTTCATAATCACCAGGTTCARTTATTTAATGTATTATCTGTTTCTCTTCTTGTCAAGAAGCGGCGGTTTATTCTTTTTATCATTTTTGACGTGGGGAGTGTTCCTTCAGTGCTTATTTTGGCCCGCCGACCGTGATTTTCTTCTTTGCGACGTAATTTCAGGGTTGGGAAATACTCAGGAAACATTTGGGTRGAGACAAGAAGGTTTTGTTCRGCAGTGCTGTGAAGTGTAAAGGGGRAAAAAAGTAGAGAAATTATTGCAAAATATAGACTTGGGAGCTAAGGAACTGCACCATCAGGCAYTGGTGTGAGGTGGTTCTTGGTCAGGAAACTGAAGTGGCCTTTGTTGGCAGCACCTGCTGAAGGATTGAAAGGTTTTTTTGAGCACTTCACAGGAATGGGGTGGTTAATCCATGAAAGTACTCTCTTATCACTGTTCTTGTGTGGATTTAAGCTGGCATTTCCGCCAGGGAAATGTGGTTTTGTGTCTGTTTATCTCCTGTGCCATGAGGGGATCAAACGCCGCATTTGGCTTTGGTGCCAGGCCCGCTCTGCTCTGTCTGGAAGGGCTTTTTTTGGGGAATTAAGGAACAAAATCACTTTGGTAGGTGTTGAGAGACACCCTTGGGTGTGCTGGAGGAACAATGGGTGCTCTGTGGGAGGGGAGGGAGGTGGTTGGGTCAGATCAAAGCGTTCTCCTGTCCTTGCTCAGAGCTCTCAATGTCACCCCTGGTGCTGCCACCTGACAGAGGGGACACCTTGGCCTSTGCAGTGGTGAGGGACATCTCACARWGTCCAGCTCAGCTRGGGGATGTTATTTATGGTGATTCCTGTATTTAGGGATTTAGGAATAGCTGGAGATATTGGGGATTTGTGCAGTGAAGGTTACAGGTGTCCAGGGCGATTGGGGTCAGTTGGGGTCTGCCTAAAGGTAGAATTTTTTATTTAATCCTTTTTTCCCCATCATTTTACTGATAGAGCTGGCTCACTTTTTTCTTTACACATCTCATAATTTATAGTGCATCTTTAAACTSTAGAGAAAGCATTTATTCAAAGATTTTATTCCTAGGTTTAGGACCGTGATCTGTAGAGATAAATACTAACCTGCAGCATATCAGGATTTACAACATTCCTGCTCCTACCTAAAAATGCTAGTTTTTTTTTACTGTCCATGGTAAGATCCACCAAGCCATAGATAAACTTTCCTCCAAATACTCAGCTGACTTTTTGCACTAAAAGCCAATGATAATGTCTCATATTGTCATGGTTTGGTTTTGTGTGTCTTCTTAYATTCAGATCTTCTGAAGACTGTTTCAAAAAAAACCCACAAACTCAGATTAATAAGAGTTTAAAAAGTTTGGGTGGATTTTTTTACATTGCTGTGTTGTGGTAAACAGAGGAGATGTTTACTGCTTCCCATTTCTTTTATTTAGGATAGCTGCTTTTATTGTAAGAAAGAACAGCTAAGCTGTAGGAAGCATCATTGGAACCCAAGGGTTTCAGCCCTAAACAATGAGAGCCTCAGAAGAATTTTCAGTGGAATCCTGTTTATGCCCTTTTTAAAAATTTATTTCTCTTTGTACTTCATCTGGAATGTTCTTTGGAAGCTGGTGAGCATGAAAAATGCTGACCCTTCYTGCAGATTGCAGTGGGTTATCACTGGGAATGGTGTTTTTTTGTAAGGCCCTTTCTGCAGCACAAAGCCCCTCCAGCCCCACCATGGAGCAGGATGAGCTCAGTTCTTCCACTCCTAAAATTTCCTTTCAGAACTTCCAGCTCCTGTTTCCCTGCACTGTTCTGTGTTTATTCTTCAGAACTGCTAAGCCATTTTCAAAGCAGCCTTCTTGCCTTGTTTTACTGCACATTTCTTTGGTTGTTACTTAGTGAGGAATGGACTGATTTCAACTGTTGAAATGGAGCAGTAAATTGGAAATGGGGATACATTTTGAGAGATTTCCAGTTGGAAATAGACACCCAGTCAAAGCCCTGGATATCTCAGCTACCTGAGAAATGCAGTAATTGCTTTGAGATGTGTCTGAATCTAATTGTCAAATGGAATTTAGACATAAAGGGAAGGGAAATTGCCCTACAGATCTGGGTTTTGTTGGCTGCCATGGTGAGTGACAGGGGTGGCACTGGACAATTCGGTCGCCCATAATTTCAATTGAATTTGTAATGAAGAACTGAATTAACTGATGTGTTATCCAGTTCTCCAATGTGAGAAACATTTTGGAAGTGTGGGCACTTGGAGCAGTGGATTCATTTYCCTGCTTTATGGGAATGGTTGATGTCACAGGACTCTCCTTGAATATTGATTTAAAAAAATTACTGGTGTGAGCATGGACTGTTCATTGTGGGGCTGAAAGATTGCTCTGCCTGCAGATTGGACACATTGACATGCTACATATTGATATTTATCTGATATTTGTAACAACAAATAACCTGATACATCCATATTTATTTATCTTTTTCTTTTGCTTCAAAAAGAATTTGGACAAAACCATTGCAGTTAAGTTTCTGTTAACTTTTCAAGTGCACTTGAATCCACTAACAAAGCAAAAAAGGAACTTTTGGATCTTGCAGTATTTTGTTTCAGCTGTCACATGTCCCTCCTGGTTCCAGCTTCATCTGATTCGGTGCCACTTGCTTTTAAAGTACCCACTGAGAACGCTCTTAGAGAGAAACTGGTGGCTTTTTTTTATTTTTTTTTTCTTCTTTAAATATACTTTAGCTCAACTTTGTTCTACTTGCAGCTGTTAGATGTGAAAGTATATTTTGAAGAAAAAAAAAAAAAGTAACTCCAGCAGCACCAGAGTTCCTATCTGCTGGGAGCAGCTGCTTTCGGCACTTCAAAGCCARTGGACAGCACAGTGAAGGCCTCAGCCTTTCCTGCCTTTGAAATGGTTGCAGTATCTATAGTTGGGTTTATGGCACTGTCAGCACAGGAAGAAAGGTTGTTTGGTTTTTTTGCACCC